TCTTTACAAAAAGAGCTTCATTTTGTGGTTTACAGTCTAAATATTTCTACCACAACCATTTAATAAAAATAACCAGATTTAAAAGTCTTTCTTTAAACATGTAAAAGTACTCGCATATCTAAACATTATTATAGACACTTTTATATAAACTGTCTTTACATGATACAACAGATACGGTAATCCATGACTTTTCCTGTAAATGAATATTTGAACAATACAGTGAGTTTATATTTCTATACGATGGAGACGTCATCAAACAGCTACTGTGTGTTTTTCTCCGGAACCAGAATCAGAGGATGTGAGACGATGAGCAGGATGAACAGAACCTGCCGTTGGATCCGGCAGCTTCTGCTTTAAGCTACGTACAGAAAACAAAGATCCAAACCTCACATGTTCATCAGATTCTTACATTTCCTCTGAGAGAAGCAGAGATTGTTGGACCGAGAAACTGCAGCTTCACAGACTTCATGACGGGTCAGAGATCTTTCTGGGAACCATTTCTGGACCACAGAAATGGTTCCCAGAAAGATCTCTGACCCGTGCTGCTGCACTTCACTTTTCTGAATCTCTTTCTTCTAAATAATAACAATAATCAACAGAAACTTTATGCAGCTGCAGCAGAACAGGAAACCTGCAGGAGCTGCAGAGTTTCACTTCGTTTCTGTGCTGAATGAAACGTTTTGGGTTCCAAATATAAATGTTGTGATGAATGGAGTCTGGCGCCTGTATCCATGACCCTCCACTCGTTCTGCTGACCTGAACGGACTTTCTGCTCAGACCCGGTTTTACTCAGTCAGGCTCCAGTGGAGTCAGAGGTGAACACATTCAACCAGAACCAGAACCAGAACCTGACATGGAGAAAAACATCTGGTTTCACTCTATAAGTTCATTTCCCTTGTTACTTCAGTTCAACACATTTCTAACATCATTTAGTACAAACTGCTTTCAAAGATTTTAGTTTTACTTGTGCTTCTAATTATTTTTCGCCTGAAAATAATTAAAAATAATAAGTAACTGGAACTAAAAACGGAAGTGGAATCTTGTGAAGGTGTTTATCTGAACGGTCCTGGCAGTGGAGAAACATTTTAAGTTGTTATTTTTCTCTTTTCTCCGAGTTTGAAATCAGCTGGATCCAGTCCTGTTGCCATGGAAACCGGAGCTTCCTGCTGCCCTGATTGGCCGAATCCCAGCATCTCTGTCGGCTCAGCCTCCAGACCCCAGTGATGCTCGCAGGAATCCAGAACCTCCACAAGGTTCTGGATCAGCTTGAGTTCTCCACCTCTACTGAACCGGACTGGAAGGAGTCCAGCCCGGTTCAGCCCGGTTCAGCCCGCTTTCACCCGACTCCGGTCCGTTTACGTAGAAAGTCCAGGCCGGTTGGAGAGGAGTGAACGCGCATCGACCTCTGACCTCTGGTCCTCCAAACCTCGGTCTGGTTCGGTTCAAATTCATATGTGAACACCAAACAGAACCACAGCAGCTGGAGACAGAGCTGCTGTAGAACCGGGTCAACCGGGCCATCAGGAGGAGAACAGCTGTTGGTTCTGAATGTGGAGCAGCAGCTCAGCGTCGCCCCGACAGAGGAAGCTCATTCAGCCTCCACCGAGACAGGCTGGGTCAGTCCAGACCCGTTTCCATGGGCTTTCTGGTTGTCTAAGATTTAAACAGAATTTGGACCCAATTGAATCTTTTTCTAGAAACTAGAAAACTGCTGTTCGGGAAAAAACACACAAAAAGACATTTAAGTCAAATAAATTGCAGGACAAAGAAACATAAAGTTAAAAACCTTCTTGAACAGAAACATCTTGAGACCCGTTGAGGAAATCAGCCTTCCTGTCAAACAGAGAAAGCTCAACACATCACCGTCACGTTTCAGACGTCTGACACGCCAGTGGAGCTGAAACATAAAAACACCCGGTGAGAAGCAGAGGAAGGTCAGTTCAGACATGGAGGGTGTTGGTTCTGCGGAGCCTCGGTTCTGTTTCCACACACTGAACCGTCGGATGATTGCAGAGTTGCTGCAGCATGTCTATCAGAAAGTGCAGGCGTAGACAACGCCCACCACCACGATGTTCCCTATAGTCGCAATGATGGCGATCCACAGCCAGATGGCGTCGCTGGACATGGACTGCTGCTCGTCCGGCTGGCCGTGCGCCGAGGCGGCCGAGGCCGCCGCGTTGACGCTCGCCGAAGAGTTGAAGAGCGAATGCTCTCCGCTGTAGTCGTCGTTGGGTGAGGAGTCCATGAAGGCCCCGGTCATGACTGGGATCTGGAACCACAGAGATTCAAATCCATTAGACTTTAGGCCAAATCTTCATGAAACGCAGCAGAACCAGTGAAATCCATCAAATGAAGTTTGATTTTTAGCTTTCATTGCAGACGGTCAGTTAGCGCTGCTTCTCAAAGCCACTCAACCGTTTCCCGCCTTGCCAGAAAATATGCAAAGTTTGTTATGGACACACAGTTTGTGTAATACTGATACATCACTCTGAACCCAAAATGAAAACCACAAAAGGTTAAGCAGACTTTTAACAGAAAGTAGCTGTTTACTCAGCAGAGACGGTTCTACTGGGGATTGTTTGGCCTGCAGGACCGGACACACAGAACCCAGGTGCAGCTGTGGAGAGCAGGAACACCTCCAGCCAGGTGAGCCTGTTTGCTCTGAGCATCACTGTGTTTGCAGCTTTAGATCAGCAAACAGGCCGGATCTGATGGACCATCAGGCTCTGAGTGCAGGGATGTAGAAGGAGGAACCAGCCGCACCAATCAGCAACCAGCTGACGACCGTCTGTCTCCATCTGCTCTCACTGGACACTTTTAGCACCAATAATAATTTAGAGGTTTGCCAAACCTTTTCTTTGGTAGAACATCTCTCTGTATTTTACGTGATCAAACTGTGACATGGTCTCTTCTAAACAGCGGTTTTCACTGCGGACCGGCCCGGTTCCTTCAGCCAGAACCGTCGCTCACTCTTCCATTAATCACAGCGCTGTTTGTGATGCGAGCGCTGAAGTGTGAAAGGAAAACAGAAAATGATTTCAGCCAAGCAGGCTGTAAAACATCTGATGGAGAAACAAATGAAAAATGTTTCCTCTGAGATTTTCACTCAGACGCAGCAGAGCAGAACCGGGTTCTGACCGGGTTCTGCTCGGAAATGGGTTCTGACCGGGTTCTGCTCGGAACCGAGTCTATTTGTGCAGTCTATCATGCAGCTTCTTGTTTCCAGTTGAAGGTCCGATGAAAGGTCAGGGTGATAAAAGGTTCTGCATGAACTGGACTTATGACGCCAAAACCAGCTGAAACCTCCACATCCAGGTGAGAAGAAGAAAACATGTTGGAATAAAATATTTTAAAAATAAGTTTTCATCTTTCTGTGTCTTTTACAGTTTTTGTGTTGTTAGGTTAACATTTTAATGATTTAATATTTAATTTGTCACCCAAAAACAACAAAAAGTTGCTTTAATTTGTTTAGAAAAATAATTTATTTCATATTTATTTACCCTATTATAAATACAAACAGGCCTTTAAGAAAATGAGCTTAATTTATTTCAGACACTGGAGAGTAAAAATATAATCTAATCCCTAACATAATCCTGAACTATTTCAATTTGCTTAACAAAAGTTTAGAAAATAAAACTTAAAAAAATGTACTGCTGAAAAAGTTTAATTTTTTAACTTCTAAATCTGGCTTGGCTGTTTTTTTATTCATTTCAACCTTTTATTTTTAGTTGTTTCAATTGAAGCTGATGAAACAGAAAAGTTTGTATTCTAAGAAAGTTTTATTATAACAAATATTCAGATGCTGAAATCTGAATGTTTGTCCGTTGTGTTCATTTGCAGCTGCAGCAGACAGGCAGCAGACAGGTCAGCAGACAGGTCAGCAGACAGGCAGCAGACAGGCAGCAGACAGGGCAGCAGCTCGCCTCATCTCCGGCTCTGGAAGTGATGATTACTTCACTGTCACAACATTTCTGCTTATTATGTACACAGACAGGCAACGTTCAAGGTCAGTGGGGATCAGCAGCGCTGACAGTGAAGACATCAAACTGAAAACACAGCAGCCAAATCTAAACCTTTCTGAGACGCTCAAGATGTCAAAACTCTGCCTGAAGTCTTCAAAATATGTTCAAAATGAATTCAAGCTGATTATTTTATTGCTTCAGAAAGAAATTTACAGCAGGCAGCTCAGATCAATGACTTCAACCTGCAGCAAAGCATCATGGGAAATGATCAGTTCCTGGTTACCAACAACTGAACCAAACACAGTTACAGATTTATGGATGAGATCAGAAGTTTACATTCACTAAAATTAAGTTTTAAACAATTTGGGACAACCTGGGCAGTGGTCCCCCCAGTGGGGGACCTGGGGGGCCAAGGCCCCTGTTGAAAAACTCCAATGAATATTCATATAAAAGCCTACAGCTTCTTCAATCAATGTAAAAATGCATCACTGAACTGACTCATTTAAACTTTACAGGCTTCAGGTTGTCAGACTGCAGCTGATCAAACTGTTTTATAACAACATATTTATTCAGTGCAGCATAAATCTATCTGCCTGATGGATGGAGCCGATCCGATTTTTATATTTCAATCTGCTCAGAGCAGAGTGGTAACAAGGAGCCTCTCCTTGGGGTCATAATTGCTTCTTACCCCGTCAGACAGCTGGTGCTCTCAGCCGTGTCTCCATTCTTCATATTTATGTTTAATTTATTCGTAAGTCGTTGTCCACAGAGAGCCGACTGCAGAGGGGAAGAGCTCCGAATGAAACGGATGAGAACAAACCAAAAAGCTAAATAAATATTTGATTGTTCGGCTTTGATATTTTCAGATTGTGTGAAAATGAATTTGCTGGAGAACATTTGGAGGAAATCCTGCAGGGAAACGTTTCCTGTTTGCAGATATTGCCGAGGCAACAAGTGGAAGAAAAGGGAAAGACATCCTGCTGCGTTCTGCACCAGACGATCCAAAAGAGTAAAAATAATTCAGCATATTTTTACTCAAGTAGAAAGTGACCGTCCAGAAAGTTTCATTTCTGCTTAAAACGTGTTTGTTTTCATTTGGTGGGTAGAAAATCCAGAAATGTTACTCAAGTAAAAGTAAAAATACTCCTAAAAAATAGTAACTGCATCCATGTCTGACCAGATGTAGATAATATTTATGCAGTTCTCATTGGATTAAAAAGTTTTGATGACACGAGGCGAAGAGACGACGGCTCAGCGATGCAGAACTCAGTGGTTCTGTTGTTCTTTGCTTTGGCCCAACAGTGAAGCAGTGGGGGGTGATTAGCTTTAGCAGCTCCAGCTGGTAGCCGTGTGCTCTCTGCTGATTGGCTGATGCATTAACGTGTCCGCAGAGAGCAGAAACCTGCGTCGCTTCACTCTGAACACTTCCTGCTCCGGTTCCGGCGGTCATGAGATTTCGCTCCGGAGTTTCGTCTCCAGCAGAGCAGCCGGATGTTTGCAACTGATCCCCAAATGTTCAGCAGTTTTCTGTTGTGATGCAGAGGCAGCGATGAAAACTTCATCATGAAGTCCATCGGTCACTTCAGGAAGTGAGCACAACAGAAAGCTTCATCTCCTGGCTTCAGCCGACAGGATGTGGCGTTTATGACGTCACAGAGCAGCAAAGCAGATGCAGAATCTAAACCGTGAAAATGGAGATCATGAGGAAAACGCTGCAGGAGCAACTGGCTTTGCTGTCAGGGAGCTGATGTTGAAGGTTGAACTCCTCGTGTCGTAAATCTTTTTCTCTGAGGTGTTGAAGCTTCTGGTTGCCAGGCAGATTTACGGCTGTGCTGCCATCGATTTTCCTCCTGCCTCAGACCAGCAGCATGTTTAAATACATCTTATAACTCACTAGAACAAGAGCAGCTGAGTGATTTTCTCCTGACGCCTCGATCAATCTGTCAGAGCAACAGACGTCTGGTGTGACGGAGAAAAACTTATTACACTTCTCTAATAACAGGAATGAGCAATAACTCTGGTTCATGTTGCTCTGGACCGAACCTGGACCTGAACTTATTTCCTGTCTCATTATTGTGACTCATGAGCAGGACGACAAAACCGGCCTTAAAAACATGGAGGAGAAAATATATTTGGTCATTTTAACAATTGTATATGTTGAATGTGGAGGTTGATAAAAATAATATTTTCTATTGTCGTTTCAGTTAATTATGTGATTAATTTACACATAATTAAAGCTTTTTTTCTGATTTGGAAAGAACGAACACACACACACACACACACACACACACACACACACACACACCGTTCTTGTTCCTGTCTCCATCCAGAGACCGGAGGATGGAGCTCTGGGCTTTCGGGTCAAAGCCTGGTGGCTTCATTCAGCCTGCTGGTTCTGCTGGTTCTGCTGGTCCCTGTTTGTCTCCTGGTTCGGTTTCAGTGCCGGTTTGTGGCTCTCTGTGCTCAACCTGAGCTGATCCAGCTGGCTGCTCAATCCGTCCTCCGTTCCACACGCAGGTGAGGATTTGGATTATGCAGCAAAGCTGACCTGAATTTCTGCTTCTAAGAATGATCATAAAGATTTAAAGAGTTTGTTCCAAACATTTAACGCGAAAAGCAGCAGAACTGCTTGAAAGCAGAACCAGCAGCCAAACTTCGCTGCTCCAGTTCTCCAGGCAGCATGAAGAGCTGAAGGTTTCAGTTCAGCTCCAGTAAAAACAGCCTGATGGGTCCAATCATCAGTTCCTGACCTGAAGCTCAGTTCGGTTCGGTTCAATTCGGTTTGTTTCTGTTCGGTTCAGTTCGGTTCGGCTCGGTTCGGTTCGGTTCCATAACACATGCAGGTTCAGCTCTGTGCGGATCTAATGGAGGTTCTGATGTCACGTAAACACAAAACTTGATTTGAGGTTCCTGCTGTGCATGCTGGGAAAACCAGAGCAGCTGAGAGGATTTTCAGTGACTGAATGTATTGAAAATGAATTTAAACTGAAATCACAGCATGAGCAGAATCAGCAGAATCAGCAGGAACTCCACGGTTTTCTCAGAACCAACGATGTTCTGGAAGCAGGTTGTGATTTTCATTCATCTGCGGTTCTTCATATCACAATTACTGCCTTCCTCAGCATCAGGTTTCCTCCTGTGGTTATATTAATATTTACATTCCTAATTATAATTTTCAACCATCACAGCTACTTGCAGTGTTAGTCTTTGCATATTTACATGACTGGCTGCAAAAACCCTTTAGAGTGAAACCTTTTCCTTCCTTATCGACTGGAACAGAATCTGAAATGCAATTCAAGACAATGAA